TCGGACGCTTAACCGACTGCGCCACCCAGGCGCCCCTGTTTCGCATTTTCTATTTGCTTATCTTGGGTTTGGAAACTTTCACAAACGAACAATTATTATTTATATGAGGAGGAAAACGGAGGCCTTAAAATAAAGAACAAAGCTCAGTGGCAGTAAGCACCTTACAGAACAGTGAGATTCAACACAGGATAAAGTAAAACCTTGATTCTCCTGGGCTTCAGGCTGTCAGAAGTCTGGTGAGTATCCTTTAATGACATTGTACTACGTGCAGTTTGTGACATCCCCAAATCTGTTTTTCAAAGCTCTCCTTCCTTTTCCTCATGTGAAATGTAATCTTTACACCCGAGACATGTATCACAAATACCTTGCATGTACTCTTAATGTTTCCTTTTTACCATGCCTTACCAAAACTCAGAGGAATTTCCCATGCTTTTACATGTGATTTAAAAAGCCATTTTTCTGGGGCACCTGGGTGGCTCAGTCAGTTGAGTGTCCATCTGTCTTCAGCTCAGGTCATGATCTTGTGGTTCGTGGGTTCGAGCCCCGCGTCGGGCTCTGGGCTGATGGCTCAGAGCCTGGAGCCTACTTCAGATTCTGTGTCTCCCTCTCTCTCTGCCCCTCCCCCACTCACTCTTTGTCTCTGTCAGAAATAAACATTAAAAAAAATTTTTTTTTAATCCAGGGAAAAAAAATGAAAAAGACAAGATTGACTTTAAAATTTAGACTTAATCATTTAAAGTTTAAGTGACTAAATCAAGTGTAAATGATCACAGTTCAAGCATTAAATGACATTGTGCATCATTCCTATGCAATGATGTGCCAATACTGTGCTATTTAATGTCAAAGATTAAGGCCACGGTACCAGCTTTCACGAGCGGCTGTCTCAACAAGGAAACCTGAAGATCAACACACGAGTCTGCGGAGAACGATTCTAGGAGTGTTGCATCCACACGACTCCTGAAACAGACTGCTACAGGCACCAGTGACAGTCACAACAAAGTTTATTACAATGAGAGGCAAGGCCGACCGATCTAGACCAACACTCTTGATAAGAATGCGGCCCGGAACAGCTGGGGTACAGAGTTTTTAAAGCCGATCACATCGTTTTATCATTACCTGGAAACAGAACAGAGAAACAGTTCCCAGATGAGTTAGAAACAGTTGCCAGATGAGGTGATTATTTTAGACTTTCTGCCGCTTAGTTGCAACCAGTG